CTACTTTCAGACTCAGTTTCCCCATGTATCTCATGGAATTAACGATAGCACCTATCTCACATGGGCGTCAGCTTCTTTAAAGGAGATGATAAAGGTCACAGGCTGCACCTGATGATGTCGGCTGCTATTATTATTTAGAAATGAGTGATGAGACCGTGAAGCAATCCAGCCCATCTTGTGCAGATTCAGGCAATGGTGGGAAGATTCAGCAGATAGGGCATGATGGTCTGATGTGTGTGGTCACAGCAAAGTCAAGGACAGAGACAGGAAACAGGAAGTTACCAGTTCCCATACCATGCAGTATGTGCTCTGGAAGAGGAGGAAATGCATCAGATGATAATCAATAAGGATTGATTACCAAGCCTGTCCCCATAACTGTAACAATTTGCGAGAGGAGCTAAAGCAGGAAAGTGCCGTTTTTAAAAAAAAAGTGCAAAAAGATCATAATCTGGGAAGAAAATCTTTTCTTCAGTGACACTCCAACAAAGAGAAATCTTACATCAGAATTCATAGATAAGGAGACAGAGATGCACTTGTCCCCAGTATGCCAGCAGATGAGGAGTGCAGAACAAACTGCAACTTAGACCTCACGGCAGTGATGTGTAGTTGGAGAGCCAAGTGAACTGGACCTGCTTCAAGGTATTTTAGACTCAGTTCTGTCACTAAGTATTCCTATTTCTCAAGGAAATTGCCAGGAAAATCCAGGCTATCTCAGTTGGCTATCAGAGGCCATCGCTTGCGTCCTCCTTTCATCCACCACAATATAAAATGGTGAAACTGGACCACTTCCATGATCCCTTAAAACTATAAACCACAATAAATCACCCTTAAGTCCCCAATTTTGCAGAAATTTAACTTTTGTGTGGAACAACCTATAAAAGTCCAGGAAAAGCATGTGTGTTTGTCTCTTACATAAATGGTTGGCATTTTCCTGGAAAAATATGTGCAAAATTGAATCATTCTAACATGAGAAGATTATAGGAACATACCAAGAAGAGAAAAAAGGGGGAGTGAATTAGATGCTTCTGGATGCTGAAGAAGCAGGCTGCAATATGTCCCCCCAAAACTTGCCAACTGACTGTAATTTAGATAGATAATAATTTTTGTTTTATTTATATATCTCAAATGCGTAATCCAGTCTACAATTTTGAACTAACAGTCAGATCTGATTCAAATTTTATTCTTCTGGATAAAAATGCTGGTAAAAGGGACTCTTTTATTTAAAAAACAAATACTAATATAATATGACTTCATGCTTGGCTTCTGTTGTCATTTCTGACACTTGAAGCTATAACAGTGGAAGGCAACGTGCTGTGTCAAGATCCTCCCCAGGCTCGTTAATAACTGTGATTGCACCAATCATGAAGGCTGGTGGACACTGAAACGAGACTCACCAAAGCAGGAAAGAAGATCATTGATTTAATTCTTCTGGAAAATGTATGAATATGAATGGGCTCAGGTTGGGGCTACCCTGGAGTGACCTGACTCATATCGGAGTTCTTGTTTTAACATTAACATAGTCCTTGTTTAACACTGAACACTGAATCCTGTGTTAACAGCTCTGTGTTAATGTGAAAGCCAGTTAACGTCTGTGCACCTAAAAATGATTAAACTGCAAACCAGAATAATAATTCAGAATTCACAAAGTTGTCATGGATATTAGGTGAGACTTACCCCAAAATGCTTGGATAATTATAAATCAGCTTATAAAGTTAAACTGACACTATTATTTTGCATAAATTAATTTTATTCTTTTGCATAAAGTAATATTCAAATGTAAGTACAGTGCCGTGCCTTCATTTCAAACTTCAGTGAGGTGGTTTATTTTATTGCTGATTCCAGAGATTACTACACACATCTTATTTGAGCTTTCTGGAAGTGAGTTCTATTTATTTCCTTGAGTTTCAACTCTAGGTATGTGTTATTGGGAAGATCCCATAAATTTCTTAATTTGTCCGAATGGAAATGTGGGCACGGGATCAGGTAATCTGTAAAGCCCTTCCTGGCAATGATTCCTGTGATCGTGAAATCCCAGAAACTGCCCAAATTGTAAAATGTCATTTCTCCATTTTTTTTTTCTTTTTTTCAGTTCTGCCCTTACTTAGATTACCCCAAGCTTTGTGTTTCTCCAAGCCCAGAGGAAGGGAAGAAGAGGGTCATGGGAAGAGATAGGCCCAGCAGAGCTGGGAAACTGACTAATTGCAGGATCTTTGATCCTTGTTGCTACCCTCAATCAATGGTCTCTCCGTTTGTTCTGAATGTAAAGGAGCCAAAAAACTAAGTCAAAACAAATTTACAATATGGAGTTTGCAGGACTGTTCAGAAGAAGGCATCTGTTGAAAAAGAGGGAGGACGTGTGTCTAGGTATGTAAACAGAAATAAAACATAGACCAATGGACAGGTCTAAAGAAACAAAGTTGCAGAATTGAAGAATGATTTGCATAATTTCAACAATGGGTGGAGGAGGGGTGCCTAGGACACTCGATTTTGATCAAATAACCTTAAGTTTTCCTCTGTGGCCCAGACATTTTTATTCTCACCTTCTACTCGGAAAGGTAAGAAACAGCACAGAACAGCAGAGCCACTTGTCATATGGCTGGTTCCTCCTTGGAGGAGTCTGGAAATAGTGCCAGACAACAGATTAGGTCACGTGGGAAAGAACCTGAGTTTTGTATAAAATTACTGAACCGAGGTTACACGTGGCCATGAGGAGACCTGCTCTCTCCTCCTCTGGTTCCGTGGCCACTTTTGTATGATGAATCACCTCTTGGTCTATCTGCATGATCCTGCCTGGGACCAGTGAACTCCGGGCATGGAGGGACCCTGGCTGGGAAAGTGAGGGGGCTTGATCTCCTGGGAACCTAGCGGGTTGTCTGGAATGACTGAAGGGGTCACCACATACATGCTCTCTCTAGCCTTGCTGTCACTACCCCATGACAGTAGATACTGAACAGGCTGAAATGTACCTTTGTTTTTCTAACACTGAACTGAATTGGCCCTGGACCCTCAGTCTGGCTGGCCCCAAAATCAAAGTCAAAGTAAAACCCTCCTTATTTGATAAGTAAAGGTAATTCAGCCCCTAGCCAATTTAAAACAACCCCCTTTCATTCTTGGTAATTAGTTACTAAGTCGAATTTAAGGTCAAAGCTCAGCCTGTTACAGATTCCTTCAGCCGCCTCCTCTTAATTTGGTCTTTTGGTATAGAAAAAAAAACACTCTGTGCTTCTTGGGGAGCTCCTTCATTCACCCCACTAACCCTGTCTTGTTTCTCCCTAGCAGCTGGCATTCTCTTAACCAGCTAACAGCATTTACATCCCTAAATGAAAAAAAACTGTATTGCTACATCAGGTATCATTAATATCATACTCGACAATGCCTACTGAATCTAGATGAAAATAAAGCCATATTTTTTTCATGAGTATCCAAAGCACTAAGACAAGAAAGCAAAAACCAGAAAGAAACGATAGGGGAAGTGAGAAGAGTTCTTCCTGCCATTCTGTACCCACCTCATTCATCACACCATGGTGACAGCATATATACTACCATGGACAATAGCACTTTCAGGATTCAAATTTTTCAAAATAACTGTTTACATACATCTATTTATACACATGCAACTATTTCTGTAGGATCAGTTATTGGAAGAGAGTTTCTCTGTTAAAAGGCAAGGACATCTATAATTTTAATAGATAATGTTGACTTTGTGCCTGAATAGGTTGTACCAATGCAGATTCCCACCAAGAGCATGAAAGCACCATTTTCCACAGCACTGCACATTGTTTTAAAGTATTTTGCTAAAATAAGTAGCATTACTTAAAGTTGCATTTGTTTGATTATTAGCTTTTTGAACACTTTTTTACGTATTTATTGGCCATTTGTATTTCACCAACTCTGAATTACTTGCTTATGGAATTTGCTTGTTTTTTAAAATTTGTCTTTTTCTTATTAATCCATAAGAGTTCTTTATTCCTTATTCTGAATATTAATCTTTGCCTGTGCTTTTTGTTGCTGATAAAAATATTCCAGCCATTTGCTTCTCTTTTATTTGATTTATTTAATCATATAAATGTTTGGAGCTTTTGTGTGGAAAAGTCCTTATATCTTTTTTCTTTGTAAAATTTGGTTTTTATATTTCTCTTTAGGAAAGCCTTTCCTACTCCTACTCAAAATTATTTAAAGCAACAATATCCTCTTTTATTTTTCCTTCTACAATTGCTGCTGCTGTTTGCTTGCTTACTTTGGTATTAGAATCAATCTAGATTATTGTTGCATCTGGTGTGGATATTTTTTCACGTAGATAACCGATTGTCCCCAAAATATTGATGTCAGTTATTTTTCCTTCTAAGGCAAACACTATTCTTCTTGTACACCAAATTCCCATAGACATTTAGGTTTATTTCAGGTCCCCAAAGCAAGGAGCTGGAGCAATTGGGAAGGATGCAGAAATTCAGTGGAATAAAACTGCATACAGCAATTACTTTCTTTCACATTATTAAAACCAAAATTAATATATGCTTCAGCTCCCAGAATTTTCTGTGTCCTCTGACTAAATAAATTAAATAGCCTTGAATAACTTAGACGAGCCATAGAAAAGGCAGATTTCCTAGAGACATTTATGCTAAAGTGTTCCAACTCCTTAAGCTCCCCACATTGAGCCACCAGCAGAGAAGTCTGCACACAGATATTTGAAAAGGCTGTTGAAATATTTGTGTTGGTTCAGTAAGGTCAGAAAGCCTTTTGTCATTCAGGTAGCCTGGAGACCTTATTTGAGAGTCCAGCCTATACCTTCCAGGTCTGCAGGTAGTTGCTGAGGTTGGCGTTCAGAAGAGCTGTGGAAACCTTTCTGCTGGTACTTTTGAAACAGGGAACTTTCTCAGACAGGCCTTTCAGACATGGCTTTTCTCAATAGAGAACTGAACCAAAAGAGCTGTGATCTCCTATGCCATCCAAAGCAAAGGAGTCCTTAACAGACACAGGTCAATGTACCATTGGAAACATACCTCTTGGAAACCAAAACCAGCCTCCAGTCAGGGCATGTGCAGTCAGCACGGGTTACAGGAACAGAGAGGGTAAATTGGTTTCTTTGCCTACCACCGACTAAGTCAAGTTTGAAGATCATCTGGATTAACCAGTGCTGTACAGTCAAAAGAGGGTTTTCATGCTGCAACATAAACATGCACCTTTTCAGGTTACGGCATGTGCAGGATATCCTCCCAGTTCAGGGAACTTGCCAAGCAAGGATTTTCTGCTTCCTGGTGACTCAGGGGACCACACCACATACTTGGACTGACAATGGCCTCCTCGCACCCAGAGGAACGCAGGATGACTGCAAGGGTGAAACGGGGCTTGAGATGAGCATTCCTCAATTCAGGGGAGTGCCAGGGAAGACATTAGAGCCAATTTGGAAGGCTACACAGTTTCCCCTCCTGCATTCAGTCCAGTCCAGCCAGTGGAGAGCACGGGTGTGCGCATGTGCGTGTGTATGTTGAGCATAAAATGCAAAAATCTACCGGTGATGACTTCGACTCTGTTTTACCACCACCACTCCTGCTCCCCACCGCACCCAGTCCAGTCATTCATGTCCTTGGAATGGGTATTGTCCCATCACACATCCACCAGCCCAGTGTACAGTCAGCGCCGTCCAATACGGAAGCCACATGGGCCTATACAAACTTAAACTTAAATGGGTAAAAGTTAAATAGAATTGAAAACACTATTCTTCGGTCACACTGGCCACATTTCAAATACTCCATAGATGCATGTGGCCCATGGTTATCATAACAGACAGCACAGATAGTCATTTCCTTTGTTGCAGAAGCTCTATGGGGCTCATTTACAGTCCTTATATGAACCCTTATCTGTTTTGTTCTGCACAGTTCCCCAGCCTTGACGAAGCACACAGCCATGGAGGGCAATAGACAATAAGCAAGTATTTGGTCAAAGAAGTCGGCAGAAACAGTTGGTAATGGAGCCACAAAGCAAGTTTCAGGCTGCTTACAGAGGGCCCGGCATTAAGTCTGATTTCCCTGGTGCCTCCAGGAAGCTGCTCTGAGGAGAGAAGTAGAAGCCGAAGTGGGGGTTCCCACCGGAAAGCACGCATGTGTGGCCTGGTGCAGGCTGGAGAGAGGAGCAGGGTGTTAAATTCACAGAGACAGAGAAGGAGCCAGAGTGGTGGAAGGATAAGATTCCAAAAGGTCCCCAGGCTTACCTACCTCGGCTTTATATTTTCTGACCCAGTAGGTTCTGCTGTCTTTTCATCCTGCTTCCTGTTACATCCCCAGTCTCCCAATCAAAAGTAACTTTTTACCCAAGATAACTCAGACTAGGAAAAATTAGAACTTTTAATTCCTAAAATTTAAAACGATTCTCTTTTGCACATCTAGTGGAAAAGGGGCTCAGTTTGCTGAGTGCCCCCCACCCTCTGCTGGGAAGTAGGCAAGGACACATAATACTTGCGCAGGCAGACTTGGGTGGCATAGAAAACCATGGGGTCAGCCCTGACCTACAGCTGCGTGGTGGCAGGAAGGGAACATTGGGAAGAATCTGACTCCCCTTGGAAAGAGGAATGTGACCAGAGAAAGAGAGACCGAATGCAGGTGAAAGTAATTAAACAGAATATTTGTAATGTGTCTCTAAAACTGGGCTGAGCTGACAGAGTTTTCATCTGAATATTATTTCTGGAATTATTTTATGACTTACATGCTTCCTCCCTAAACAGATGTTTCAAGAACAAAATCATAAGGGAAAGCCAGCATTTACAACAAAATTCCCAAATAATATGCTCGTTTGCCTAATTGAAAGAATAAATACAAGGGTGGGCCTGAATGTCAAATTTTAATAAGCAAAGAGCTCAAGTTGGGAAACAGCTACCATTCAATGTTCCTTTTCCAAAATCGTGGAATGAAAATGAACTTGAAGCCAGCTCTTCTAATGATGGAAACAAAGAAATGATTAAAAGGGGATTCTTAAGATAATACAAAACTTTGTTTCAATCATTGATTTAGCAGAGTTTTACACGAATTATTGAGCAAGAAAGGGAAGAAAATCTAACATGCTGTTTTTGAAAAGCAAACAATAGGAAAATACATAAATATGTAGAAAAATTTCAGAAAGCTACCAGCTCACAATCATGTAAAATTCAATTCTATTTTGGTAAAACCAAACAAACTGGGGTCCTGTGTGTGTGTGTGTGTGTGTGTGTGTGTGTGCGTGTGTGTGTGTGTGTGTAACTGGCTTATCAAATATTCATTTCCTGTTACTGCACCTCCCACATGTATTTTCATTACCTATAGATAGTCAGTCTTTACTCTGAGACCAGGTCTCTTTCCTCATCTACATATTCCCAGTTCCCAGCTACAACTCCAGCACGCGTTAGGCATGGGATGGATTGTTTCACACAAATGGCACCAACTAGAGCAAATGGCATGTTTGGGCAAGGAGGCTTGGGAAGCAGAAAAGCATGAGGCTCGAAGTCAGAGAACGGTGACCAGGGTGCTCGCTGTGGGAAGAGGCAGTCACGTGAGCCATGCAGGTTCTTTATTGGACTTGGATTCTACACCAAAGACAGGACCAGCCATATAATTTGTGGAACCCAGTGCAAAATGAAATGTCAAGTCTCCTGGTTTAAAAATTATTCAAAAGATCAAGATGACGCTCAGTGTATAAAGCCAAGCACGAGGCCCTCCACAACTGCATGGTTGCACACCTTGAAGCTGACCCTGATAAAGGCAATCAAGGGTCCTTGGTGGGCTTTAAACAGGGACACGTTGATCAGCTTGAAGGAAGCTCTTTAGGAAAGATTGCTACCGATGCATTGCAGACCACTATTAGCAGGAGGCCTGTGGAAACCTCTTGGAAGAAAACTGCACCAGCCATGATAGATTAGGAGAGCCAGTAACAGTAGAGTTGGAGAGATGCAGGGGGGTCCCAGGGAAAATTAAGGAACTGGGAACCACTAACCTGATTGCGCTGAGAGTGGAGACAGGATGAGCTTAAGAAAATGGATAGGGCAGCAAGGAAAACTTGCACATTTCTGCTTCTGACAGCCAGGTAAATTTAGCTGCAGCAAAGCCAGCCCAGAAGAACATCCAACATGCTCTCGAAAATAATAATAAAACATGGAAAGTGACACCAGAGATGTTGCCATGAAAGAGCAGACATAACATGCTGATGAGCTCAGAAGAAAAAGACATCATTTTATTCAAAGAACCAAGAGAACAATAGGAATTGTCCCATGGCGAGCTGGCATTTGCTCTGCATCTCGAAATATTGCTAATTTTTGTGTAAGGAGTGGTGGGAGGAGAGGTCAGAGGTACAGCCAGGTGTTTGGGGAGGTACAGATAATGTAAAAGGCACTGCTGGTGTTTTAGATAAGAGCCCTTCTGTGAACCAGGTGAATCCTGTTCACGGGTGATAAAATGGGACATACAGAAGCAAGGTGACATTCCCAAAGTTACAAAAACAACAAGAAAATAATGTCACCAGGCTCCTTATCAGGTGCTCCTAACTTTTTGCTCCTAACTTTCATTCCCAAAGCCTTCTGTTGCCAAGACTACATTAATAACTGATTGCATGATCCACACGGCTCATTCAGCTGAAGGCATAGATGCCAGGCATTGAGACTACCAAGGATTTTTGAATGGCAAACAGTCAAATTGTTGGAAATGAGCCAGACTCCAGATTTAACTTATTCAGGGTAATAACATGCTCCTGGCAGAGACGTGCCTCCTGATTTTATTGGTCAAGGTGAATGCTAAGCCAAATTCAGTGTATAAATGCTCACAAGTCCACTGAGAGTAATTTTTTGTCTTTCAAGTTGTGTCTGAATGCCCAGTATTGTCATAAGAAAGTGCTGGTTGAATATTTGCTTCTTTCTTATTGATGAGCATCTGTGGATGACAGAAACAGCTCAGAGAAGTTTAAGGCTCAGAAGCTTCTGTCCCCTTCAGTCCATTCTGGTTTAAGATGATTACACAGCCATTTTATAGTATGAGTCAGTCTGGTAGGAGAGACAAATGGTTTTACTTCTCATGCCAGTTTCATCAAGGATTACTCAAAGCATCGTGTCATCTGTATTTGCACGATTTTATTCTCATTATAGCTTGGAAATGGGAAGTCATTTTTCACACAGCTGATCTTTACCTAGTTAACCATGGAATTGTTAATGTTGGTGCATCCTGTCAAACTGGACATTCATTATCTGATCCTTCTGGCCTCAGCTGCCCTGTAAGTGTCCATTCATCATAGCCACCCCTTCAAGAGGCTGGCTCTGCTATTCCAGAAGCCTGCACAATGGGATCCCAGACTCCAAATAGAAAACAGTCAAGGCAACAGCTTCCTGGAATCTTCCAGAAGGAGCCACAAAAAGGCTGTTTCTGAAAAAACACCATGTAATATATCATCCAAACACATTTATCATCCCCTGGAACACTTTTGAATGTAAAGAAAGGCTTTATTAATCATTACATCAAGTCAACTGATATAAAACAAACTTAAATGAGAAAAACCAGGACATATGTTCACTCGAACTCTTATCAAGGTAGTTTCAAAGGAAAGCCAGCAAACCTCTCGTCCTAG